TAGAACTTTGCATCGATGTGCGGCTTTCAATTCGTCACACTCTCATCTTGTAGCACACAAAGTAAGAGAAGAAAGTAGAAGAAATGCATGTTCTGCTGTCATGAGTTGAATTCTAAAAATGGAGGATATTGTTTTTACGTTATAGATTCACTGACTTAAGCACTTAGTCGGTCTCTCCTATATGAATGTGTATATATATATACATAGCTGTGTGTGAGATTGGTGTTGGAGTGTAATGACGGAATACAAGGGCCAGACAACATATCGTTTATCGAGAAAATCAAGAGATATTTATATTGGATGGAGGAGTTCACCTTGAGCTGACACCAGTTAGAGAATCACTGGAAAACCTGGGAGTACTGGATAGCTGTCTCACCTTAGTCTGGGACTCTTCAACAGTAGACACCCGTCTCCAGGGTCCGGACCCATGACCTTCTGGTTACATGGCTAGAGAGCTCGTAGAACATTGAGTCATTGAGACCCGATCCAATGGCCTATGAACCCCGGTGGGTGCGTACTGATGAAGAGTCTCAAATAGCTGTCCAGAACTCCCATGTGGTTTTCCAGTGGTTTTCTAATTAATGTCAGCTCATGATGAACTCCACCGTCTGATCAAACAAAATCCCTACAAAACCAATACTTGAAGATATTTATATATTTTTATGTACATCATTATTCGTTACTATTAGCAGAGAAACAGCGTCTTCTGATTGGTTGTTTTCTCACTGGAAGTTATTCTGTCATCTTTTTGTGACCGTTTCTTTGAAGTCCAGAACATATATCTGCTACTTGTATCCACCCACGTAAAGTCTTCGTTCTTGTTTCTTATTTTCTCATGACCAAGATTTGTGGTGTAAACATTGATGTAGATTACTGTCTACCAATTTTGGCTAGGAGACAGTATCTCACTAGCCACCACCCCCCTACAATAGGTGTAGTTCATTGCCCCAACTGTACTAAAATTCCAATTTGGTCGTTGAGTAACATTCCACATTCTGTCCAGTTTTCCTATTACAAGACGCAAAACAATTATAACCTTATGGTCTCATAGCGCTAGGTAGTTTGATTGTGTTGGATAATTAATCATCCAGCACAGTGGTTAGGACTCTCGCCGACCATGCACACGGTCCGGGGTTCGAGCCCGCACCGACGCACACCTGATATCTATGGTTGGCCTGCAAAATTTGGGCTACCGATATCCATGCTGAAAATTCCATACTTGTACCAAAAATACAGTGTGGAATCAAGCTGTAAATCAAAAATAAAAAAAAATAAAAAAAATTCCTCATCAGTGCTTCTTACAGTGCTCCAGTAGCTCTCTACTCTAAGATGTATTGATTGACTTGTGACAAAATGCCTTACTTAATCTCTGTACATTTCTTCATCAATGGCTTAATAAATAAATACAATAAATAAATTATGGGATAATACAATTTCTCCTTTTATCTCTCAATTAGTTCAATATTTCGTGATCCGAGTAAGTTGCTGTTCTAACATTGTGTGTTTATGCTTAAAGTCAGTGAGTCAGTCAGTCAATAATAACAGTGAATAACCATCAGGAGTGTAATTAATTCTTTTTTTCTTTTGTGTGTGTGCTTCTTTCGTTTTCATTGTGGTTTTCTTTGCAGTCTTATTAATTAACCACTTGTCATCATTTTACTAAATTTCTGTATTGTGAATTCATCTTTGCCGACTAACTTGGCACGGTTGAAACAGGCTTATAGTGTTGAGCCTAAACAATATCTAGAGTCTGAATTATAAAATAATCTATAATAACTTTGCAAATTATGATCAGATAGGGGTAGTTATTAATAGCGTGAGTAAATAACACGTGTGTGTCTGTGTGTCGCTTAAATTGAACTGTTTTTTAAAATTATTATTCCTAATCACCATCTTAGCAGTATATTTCTGCATCTCATTCATTAGTTAGTAGACGTTTTCATCGAATTATTCCCATCTCTGCCCCTCCCCCAAAGTTTTCCCATTGTATCATTATTTGTTATTATTATTTCCTTTAATTCCTAGAGAAACATAGGTCTTTAGCCGCGCGTCTCCGTTGCGTTCGATTCTCTGCTAGGGTTTTCACCTGGCTCAAAGTCTGCCCACATGTTTTCATCTCCTCATCACATGACCTCCTGCAAGTCACCCTCGCACTGACGACCAGCTCACCGCTTCCCTTTCGAATTCCACTCGAGGGCCTGTCTAGTGATGTCACTCGATGGTTTCCTCAGAGTATGGCTATCCTATTCATCTCCATTTCTTCCTGCCTATTTGTTTCACAATCGGTTCCTGTTGTGTTGGTTCGCTCCCAGAGATCCTTATTGCTGATCTTTTCTGGCCATCTGATCTTGGGTATTTGATATATATCCACATAATATGTGTGTTTGTTTGACAGTCGATTATATTTTGCTATGTATATATGGATCGATACTCCATTATAATTAGCCAATCATGTTAAGACTGTCTATTGATTTGTTCATTTTGAATATTCGCTAACACACTTGTTCGGACATTCATATATTTTGCTCTCACACACTTGTGTGACATTGATTCTCCTTGTGTTTGGAAAATAGAAGTATCATTGCAAACCTAGTGGTCTTCTGATTTCCGTCTTTCATGCGTCAGGACTATTAAATACTCGACCAGTACATAACAGTACTGAACGAAGACAGCTGCGATGAAGGTCTGTAGTTTGTTTGATGTGCTCTTTATGACACATTGGCCAAGTCTCTGATCCGTATAGTAGCACTGACTTCACATTGGAGTTGGAAACCCGAATCTTATTTTTCATGCTGAGTGCTGTTGACTTCCACACAGACTTGAGAGTAATGAAAGCTTGCCTTGCTTTCTCTATGATCCTTGCCTTGATATCCTCGTCAGTTCCGTCCGCCTGTAGTTGAAACGATGCTTCCCAGGTTGGGTAGGTAAAGGAGGTTGTGTTATGTACTGGTCGAGAATTTAATAGTCCTGACGCAAGAAAGACGGAAATCAGAAGACCACTAGGTTTGCAATGATACTTCTATTTTCCAAACACAAGGAGAATCAATGTCACACAAGTGTGTGAGAGCAAAATATATGAATGTCCGAACAAGTGTGTTAGCGAATATTCAAAATGAACAAATCAATAGACAGTCTTAACATGATTGGCTAATTATAATGGAGTATCGATCCATATATACATAGCAAAATATAATCGACTGTCAAACAAACACACATATTATATGGATACATATCAGGTTGTTTCTTTCAGGTTCCTCGCAATGTATCAGTTAATAATCAAAATTCACGATGTTATGAATAGTGTTGTCTTACTTCAATCTGACAATACCTCACATTATGGTTCTATCCAAAATGTGATTGAGACTTGGACAAGCTAGTTTCATGTTGACGTCTGTCCTGAGAATGTTGTCTAGAAAAAGCTTTTCAGTTAGGCCGTCCACTTTGGAGAGGACAACTTCACTAATATACCGATATGTATATTCTTGTGACGTCTTTGTAATAGTTCGAATATGTTTATTATTATTATTTATGAAGAAATTCGCATAAAACGGTGAACTACTAATTGATTGGGATGAGTAGTTGCTTGACAGGCGCGAATACCAATATTGATTTCCTGGCAGATCGAGGTAATCATCTAATCGTCTGACTGTGATTTAGCTCGTTTGGCGGCTAGCTCATCATTGGTTTACCCGGCTTGACTCAGCTTAAGGAGTCGGATAATCAGCGTGGCTGGTAATGCGCGGAATGGGTGTCTGGCCGGGTTTTAGACCGCTTAAGTGTAGTTAGGAAGGGATTGACGTGTTACAAGGAAATAATCTTGTTGACTCAGAATATGAAGATGATATAGCCTTCCTAGGTGAGGATGCTGACATAATGCAGAGCTGCAATCTACGAATATTTAGCACTCGATTCGCTCCCGTCAAATGTAAGGTGATGCTACAGGAATGAACTGGACTACATTGACTCCTAGTTTAGAAATAGGCAGTGAAGTGGTAGAGCGTGTTGACCGCTTCACTTATTTGAAAAGTTGCGTCAGCCAATTCCAACGGGTTGATTACTGACGAAAACTCAGAATGCATACAGAAGGCCAGTTTCCCATATAACAATTTACACCGTCTCTGGCGTAGACGTGATATCCGGTTGACTGTCGATCAAAGGGTGTGTGCACTGCTCAGCGGTAGTTCACTCTGTCCTCCTTTATGGATGTCGGTGAGATATGGTCATTAAAAGTGGAAGACATGAAAAGGTCGGCCAGCCGTCTTTAATCATACGTGTCTGGCTTCTATCTCCTGTGTTAGATGGTATAATAGGGTGATTCATATTGAATTTAGTCTCTTGTCGAGTGTTAGGTAAGGAGGGGAAATCAATAGACAAAGCTGTGAAGATGAATCGATTGAGATGGTTAGGACATGTGTTACGCATGAATCCCTGGCCGTTGCCTTCCTCGACTGTTAGCTACTGACATACGATCAGGATGTAAAACAGTGGTCTAACCAAAACATGGCATCATCAGTCAATGAAATCCTCAACAGTTAGTTTAAGCCAGCCAGCCAGTCAGCTACGTAAGAAGATGTAGACTTCCTGACTGACTGGTTGTGGTCCTCAGGATGGTGAAAATCAATTGTTGGAGACAATCGGTGAATCTCTTTTTACCTTCTTCTTTTCTTCTGCGTGCTAAGCGAAGTGTGGTGACTCAACCTACTGCACATTAATGTAAATTTCTACGTTGAAACCTGTCAGTCAGCTAGGAAGCACTTCTAGTTGATATAAGTGATCTACTACTGCTACTACTACTCATCCCGAGCAATTAGTAGTACATCATTTTTGTCATTTGTAAAAATATAAATTTTGTAGGCTTACTGACTAATTTTCTTCTTGAATATTTTCGTTTCACCGCTCTCTCTCTATTTTTAAAAAAAATAAAAAAACAAACAAATCAACGAAACAATCATATATCAACACTCCAATCGAAATGGAATTCAACACACACACGCACACAGAGAGATTCTATGCAAACAAGTGGATTCATTACAAGCCTATTTTGATGCTTGCAGTTCTATTGTCCAACATCATGGTCATGAGAATATAGAAAAATGGTTTATTGGTGAAAATCATTTGACCACGAGTTCATCCCCATCATCTTTATGTTCATCATCATCTACATCGAATTCAAAAGAGGCAATCGATGATTATGACGATGACGTGAAGTTGAACGAAAAGAAACAATTTAGAAATAAGCACAGCAAAGCTGAAAAGAACCGAAATAAGGAAGGCATAGCTACTACTACTACTACTAGTGATGAAGGTGGTCAATGCTTAGTAGAGTGTCCATCAAATGTGGTAAGTAAACTAGGATTATATTTATCTTTGTGTGTCTCTTCTTACTTTCATGGTGGATATAGTATGTGTACATTGTGAGAATTTTTCTTTTTATTATTATTCTTCTTGACATCTTTCATTAGAAGGCAAAGTTATTTATTTAAACGCAGAAAAAAAACAATATGGCATCAAAAAAGATGCACCACATAATAATAATAAAACAACATAGATTAAAAGTAAAACAAATATAAGTAGAGAACGGATAAAGAACTTCATCGGGAAGGAAAATAGCCATGCTTAACAAGTTCAAACAGTATTCGTTAACTATCAACGGGAAGGGAAGAAAGAAGGAAATCGCAACACTATCGCCATTGATGATTACGATTCTTGGCGAAATCCGATAAGGTTTCGAGTCATCGATTTGAGCTATCTCTCGGACCCCAACCAGGGAGTCGTGACACACCAACTGATGCTAATCTAGCACAAATATCATTCATCTCACGATGCCACGTCATGGACTGACCACCCCTCAGCCTCTTCCATCCCGTCCCAGGGCTGGCTAGCGAACAGAGACGTGTACGGAAGCCTCTGGGATGACATTCACAGCACATGTCCAAGCCACCAGAGCCGGTGTTTCCAGATGACGACACTCAGTGAATGGTGATCTCCACTGTGTTCAAACACACGCCGCCGAAACTTAGAATTACTCACGCGATGATACCATCGAACGCAAGCAAACCACCGGAGACAGCGGTGATCGAACACGCAGAGTTGCCGCACATCCTCAGCTCGGAGAGGCCAGGTTTCACAGCCGTAGAGCAAGACAGTCCGCACTGAAGCATCGTATACCCGACCTTTGACAGCCAGGCTGACGTTGCGACGGCGCCAGAGGTGGCTGAAGTTGATGTATGCCACTCTAGCCTTCATGATACGGTTGGAAATCTCATCCGTTACCCCTCCGCCAGCACTCACACAACTACCCAGATACACAAACTTATCAACATCTTCAAGCGGTTTACCTGCCAGAGTGAGTGCAGGTACAGGTTCCTGCCAATCTTGTAATAGTACTTTGCACTTAGACGGCGCAAAGTACATACCATACTTACAGACACTGATCGCCAACTGATTAAGTGCGATTCGGGCAGCCTGCATGCTATCGCACAGTAAGACGATATCGTCTGCCTACTCGAGGTCGAAAGTCTATCTCCAGGTAGCAAATCTACACCACCTTCATGCACATCCTTCAGAGCTGATTCCAGAATGTCATCGATGGCAAAGTTAAAGAGAAATGGAGAGATTGGGCAACCCTGTCTAAGAGCTACACATGTATTGTATTACGGATAACGTTACATCTTTGATTGTCATCTGAGCCTTACCAAATCCTATGACTTTTCAATTCTTGAGTAGAAATCAAATGATATTTGTCGTCTGTCAGTTTTGGTTACAAGTTGACTGTTAATCCCATTGAAGTTGAAAGTTGAATGTAAAGTGTCACTGCTTATTCGTGCTAAAGAAAGAGTTGTAACATTGGTGTATCAGGATAAAACGAGGGCATTCATGGTAGAGTCACACAGTGTTATACAGTAAGTGATAATTACTGATGACCCATGTTTCGAGCACTGTTTATTTACTGCTCGTCATCATTATATCAGTGTACTCACTTAACTTTCTATTTAGTGTTATTTCTTAGTTAGGTGCCTAATAAACCGACCAGCAACACTATGCAGTACATCAGAAAACCTAAACGATCAAATGAAACAGATAGACGAAGAAGAAGAAGAAGCGTTGGTGTTAAATAACTTTCCTATAAACTTCATAAGGAATATCAGAAAAGGCGAAAAGTAAAATAAAAATAATAGGTAAATTAATAACGATAACATAAATACGGAAGAATATAAGCTGCCTACAGTTTTACCATACCATATAAGGAGGGGATATCTGAAACCCTACGTAGGATTCTTAATAAGGAAGGAATTTGGGGGGCATTTAAACCTACAAACTCATTCAGGTTGGACAAGCTCTGTAGGTTGAAGGACCCTGTAGGTTGACCCAATTAGACAAAATACGTTGCAATGACTGTGAGTGCGGTCAACCGCATAGGTGAAACTAGTAGATCAAGCAGGAGTAGTGAGATTAACACAAACCTAAGAATTTAAGTAAGTTTAGGATGATTGACCCCCCCCCCTCCGCGAAGATAAATAACTAAGAAATAAACTCAGCCATAGCCACAATTGGGTGTGTGCCACAGAGTTAAGATTCTAAAAAGTATTGTTGGTAGATGGAGAGAGAGACGTTGATTACTGAATCCTGCCTGGCTTATCGAGTCGTCTTTAATCTGACACGTGCAATACCGGAGATATGGAAAATTTTGCCAACAATGAAATGAACAGACAAGAGTTGATCTAATTATTTAAACGAAGTCAAAAAGTTGTATGAGTACCTTGATATGTGATGGTTATGAGCAGTAATAAACTGTGCTCGAAACGTGATCATCAGTAAATATAACTTACTGTATAACACTACGTGATTTTATCAAAATAAATTTTTATCCATAATGCAGTGGAAAGAGTTGTAAAAACTGATTGCAACACTAGATGATGGCGTGGTCTCGTATTCTACAGCCGATCGATCATTACTTTCTTCGAGTTTTCAAATTTGCAACAATCAACGTTTACAAAACCCAAATATAACAGAGCTTTTGTTGTTGTTGTTGTTGTCAATGTAAGAAACGAAGTTCACCACTGCGGTAGAGTGTAATTCCGTATGAGATAAGTTTACTTCACAATCTCGTCTATTGATTTCCCCTTATTTGCGTAGCCCAACTTCAGTATTGCTCACCCTACTATACCACTTCACGCGGGAGATAGAAGGCAGACACCTATCATCAAAGACGGTTAGCCGACCTATTCATGTCTTCCACTTTCAATGGTCACGTCTTACAGTCATAAATATTTAGCAGTAACATTATAACTCATTCAAGATAGTTCAAATTCTAGACTAATTATTACATAATTAAACAGAAGCTAGAAGGAATTCGAATAGATAAAAATATGAAAAATAATGGTTTGTTTTTTATGTAACCAGTTTTCACATTTATATTACCATCAATACAGCTTTGGAGGCAGTTAGGAATGAAAAATAGGAGTAATCTCTCTTTCTCGGTTGATGAAATAATATTAGACGTGCATTTATATCTAACCTCCACCGTATTTAAATTTCGAAATAAAATATATTAGCAAACAAACAAATGGAGTGCAAGGGGATCACCAATATCCCTAAAAGTAGTAGACATACTTATGTACATTTGAGAACGTTGGCGCTCTTAGAAGATCCTGCTCTTTGGTTATGGTGGAGATATGTGGATGACTCATTCACTCCGTCGAAATGCGAACATATCCCTCAGTGCTTCACAAATAGTAAATGGAATTCAATTCATTTTTGAGTTAAAAAATAAACTAATTGACTTGGCCGTGTTGGACTGTTCAATAAAACGAAAATAAGATGGTGGGTTAGATGCCGACCGACTAACTGGTTTAAAAATAGAACTTTGCAAAGATGTGCAACAGTTCGAGTTGCCAAACTCCCTCCTCTTACCACACAAAGCAAAAGGACAGAGTAAAGAAAGTTTCAGAAGAGAGATAGACAGATAATAAACGGAGATACGAGGCAAAAAGAATACTAATATGGAAGAACAACAAAGTTTTATTGGATATGACAAATCACTCACAAAGAGTGAATGCATCCACCGGTATTCATTGAGAGCAAGGATTCTGAGCCATATCACCAATTGTCTCCAACGTTCATTGGTTCTCACCATCCGAGAACCCAAACACACTGGCAGTCTACATATCCGTGAGTGGTTGGTTGGATGGCTGGCTGGATTGAACTACATGTTGTGGATTTCCTTGACTGATGAAGCCATGTTTTGGTTTGACCACCACCAGCTTATTCTTTTCCAACCTGATCCATCCTATATAAGCGGCTGGCATCGCCCATCATCGAGAAAGGTGGTGGCTGGGCATTGATGCGTAACACATGTCCTAACCATCTCAATCGATTCATCTTCACAGCTTTGTCTATAGATTTCTCCCCCCCTTACCTAACACTCGACAAGAGACTAAATTCAATATGAATCACCCTATTGTACTATCTAACCCAGGAGATAGAAAACAGACACTTATGATCAAAGACGCCTGGCCTTCTCATATCTTCCGCTTTCAATAACCATATCTCACTGACATCCATAAAGGGGGACAGAGTGAACTGTTGCTGTGCAGCACACACGTCCTTTGGTCGGTAGGAAGCCAGTCGGATACCACATCTACTAAGCGAGAAATGGCGAAAGTTGGCATAAGCCTAACAGGCCTCCTGAATCCATCCTGAGATTTCGTCAGCGATCAACCCCCTCGGCTGACTGACGTAACTTTGCACAAAATAAATGAAGCACTCAACTTGCTCAGCCAGCACTTCACTCTCGATTGTTTTCTAGCTAGGAGTCAGTGAATATAGTTGAGTCCGCTCCTAAGATTTAGATATGATAGAGAAGATTTGTACCTCACGTGGATGATTTCGATGTGGTTGTGTTCCCTGAGCTGGATAGTTGATTTGCGAAGCTTTCATTGCCACCCACCATTAGGCAACATCTTCAGCACATTCTTCAACTTGTTGAAGTGAGCTTTTAGATTTCTCGACCAGCTTATTAATCATCTCTCCTGACGGGTGACCTTGGACATGATTGGTTATTTTTGTGTGTTTTCATACCATCTAGGTGACTTGTATTGGAACTGATTGTTTCTTTGACTTGAACTTTGACCCTTTGTGTATGTGTGAGGTTTCTTTCTTATCGGTTGATAAATTTTGTCTATCTCGATGTGTCTATTGATTGATGATTCACTAGAATACCAGGTGGGCTTCTAAAAATTCTCTAGCATTCTTGTTGTTTCCTCTGTTTAATATTTGAACGTTTGTTGTCCCAGTCGAATTGATGTCCGTGGTTGTCTGTATGTAGTGATATGAGGGAGTGAATATCATGTCTTTTGACGGCTAGTTTATGATCGTGGATACGAAGACGAAGGGGACGTCCACTTTGGCCAATGCAGTGTTTTTCGTAGTTGTTACAATTTATTTCGTAGATGATGTTTGTTTTATCTTCTTTCGCTGTTGAGTCTTTTGGTTGACATAGAATTGAGTGGAGTTTGTGTACGACGTCAATTCCTAGAGGTTTGAAGAGTCTTGTAGTGATTTCTGAGATATCCTTTATATATGGTGAGGCGATTTTCTTTGTGTTTTCCTTGGCGGCTTTTGGTTTGATAGGTTGGCTTGGGGGTATATGTCTTGTGATGAAATTCCATGGATATCCATTCTTTTGGAAGACGTCCATGAGATATTTTTCTTCAATTTTCCTTAAGGTGGGAGTGGGAATTACAACAGCAACAATCCAATAGCACACAAAAGAAATTGCATACAAACACTATTCAAGAGGGCAAGGACTCATTGCAGCACATCAAAAAAAGTGACTTAAGTGAATTATGAAGCAATGTGAAAAACAACTGCTTTGATTATTGGCAATAAGGACAAGAGTAAAGAATAGACACCAAAGTCAAATGACCTTGGTTTGACCAATCAGATAGCTCAGAATACATTGGTTTAATGTGACTATGACCACTTCTATGAGAATCTGGAGTCAGTTTTTGCGGCATATTAGAGATATATATGCCCTATAGGATTCATTTTTATTAGTCATATATCGTAGATACACTTTGTAAATTAGGTACCACTTTTCACCTAGAAGAATATGATTGGTTGTTTCAAGGTCGTCTGAAGTTAGTGTTTATTCTTTACTGTTGCCGCAATAGGTTGTGCTCGTAACGTCATCCAATTATGAGTACTGCATTACTGTGTGTGTGTGTGTGTGTTATGCATCAGATTAGCTTATCTGATGTAGAGTTTCCTGTGTGAGTTACTTTTGACTACCAAATAAGTTGACTTTCAAACGCTGACGAAAACATGCGTCATTTGTTATCAATACCGTATTTATTTGCTTAAGAACGTTTCGCAATTAGTTGTGTGTAGGTTATACAAGGTCTGGTTCCTGTCTATCGTGGTACTTTGTGATTGCTTTTCAACAAAGAGACTGGAAATTTGTTCAACTGAAGTTCGGACATTCAGATTAGCTGATTGCTTCATGGACATTTGTTGAGTTGCGATTGGCGTTTTAAAACGTGATAGTAACAAAATAGGCAGGAAGTTTGTCTACCAAAGGTAATAGGATAATTACTACTGAGGGGACTGAATTTTTATGATGACCATGGTAGAGATGACGATTGGACATACTTCTTCTGAGTACATATTGTGGGTTTAGACTTTTCGACCTTAAGTACCCCAGCTACTCCCAGATACCTTGATTTCACGCGCTTTGAGAAGTTTGATTGGATCTTGTATATATGACCTTGATGAACTTTTCAAATGAAGCTGATTGTCCTGAATTGACCAGATGTTCTGTTACTGAAATAGATACACCCTTGCATTCTTCCTTTGCTCTAACTATGCTGGATAGTTTTCTCTATTGTGGTTTACAAGCGGACACATAGTATAATATACTCAGCTCCACACGAGCAAGTGAACTGGTGTAAGCATGTTAAAGTGGCCCAATGTCAGTATACGCATATACGTATATACTTTTATTCTACTTTTCTTTCTCTTCGTGCAGACACTGACTTCATCTTCTGGTGATAACTGTTTGACAGACAAATCTGCTTTCCATTCGGATTCAAAACATGCACCTGATCTTGACTGCCGTGTTCTCCCTGACAAGGATTCAATCATCACTACTACTACTAACAGTAGTGTGGCAAAATCTGGTGGATTCTTTTCACGATTTTTACCTTTTCGTAATTTTGGAAATACGTCTACTGCGGGTGAATCAGAAACTACGAATAATGTTAGTTGGTTTATGTTGCTTTGTCTTTATTACTACATACTTTTGTGAAAACAAAACATTTCTAGTTACATTTGTATTTGTTTAGCTGTATTAGAGAAGATGGTGTTTATCTAGAGATTGTGTGTTGATGTATTGGCTCAGTACATTTTGAATAATCGGATCCCTCCACACATTTACTACTTGTTAAATCAATTTATATGAAGAGAAAAAAATCGAAGTAGTGAAAGACCCATTTAAATAAGCTAAATGATGAAGCATTTACGAATAAGAAGGTTGATGATAATTGACACTATCCTTGGTAATATGATCAGATAAGAATTACGTTGGTGATCTGTTGATCGGGTGTATTGTTATACACAGAGTATATTTGGACTGTCGATACGCAATGGCCTCGATTTAACGTCGTTATATGGTATGCGGTCAAGTATGCTATGTAATCGATTAGCTAAGCCACTATAAAGTGTACTTTTGTTCTGATGGGGGTCTTTTTTGGACCCTCATTGCTTCTTCACTTAATGAAGAAGTCCCATTGACTCAAATGGTGGCATTGATTGCTGACGAAATGTCAGTAGCAGTTCTTATTTACTGTTTGTCAGCTTGCTTTCGATGTAACATCGAACTACCTACCGATGAGGATGTAATCCCCTGCCGCACTTCCTTTTGCCCTCACTTCGTGGCTATGTGATACATGGTTGCTGAAAGTATACAATTTAATGAGATTGGACATTTCCGACTATAAGTGCTTTCATTCGATGGCTAGTTTTTTAATGGAGCAGTAAGATAAGATCGTTGGTGGCATAGCGCTTAGGACGCTCGCCGACCATGCACATGTTCCGACGCACTCTCTTACCTCGCTAAGCCAGAAATAATTCTAGTAAAGAGGAAAGGTTGGGCATGAAGCTAGCAGCAACCCCATCCTGTAAAATAAACACTGCTACAGAAACTTCGAGTCGCTAGCTTGAGGCCCTATGTTCCACCGGGAACGTGAAGAAAAAAAATATAATAAGAAATATTGTGTGGATTGAGAAAACCTGACTGACGAAGTTATGAAGTTTTCTTCATCAATGAAGCTGGAGGTAGTCAGATTGTGGTGAGAACCGTCTGGTAGATAGCCAAAATTGGTAGACAGCAATTGACGTCAATGTTTCCGTCCCATGAGGAAAAAACAAGAACAAAGACTAACTCAACAACATAGCGTGGGCGGATACGATTAACAGAAATATCAACGGACTGTCTAAGAAACGGCAACAAAGAGATGATAGAATAACCTTCAGCAGGAAAACAACTAATCAGAGGACTCTGTTTCTCCGCTAACAATAACGAATAATAACGTACATGAAAATCTGTTGATTTTCTCAATAAACGATCTATTGCCTGACCCTTGTCTTCTGTCGTTGCAAGATCAAAACATGTTGTTCGTCTGTGAAATCATGTTGCTGAGTCGTAATCCCTGGGATACCAAGAAGCAGTGGTTGGAGGCTGTTAGTAAGATAACACCAAAGTTCTCAAAATTACGCGAATGTATTCGCTTCTCAATGTCCCTCCAGATATGGAAAATCTTCATAAATGTGCATTTAATTGTTTTCTCCTTCGCGTTTGTTTTCACCAACCGCAGTATCATTCTTGACTTGACTTTCAGGCAGTGAGTAACAGTTTCACACTTTCTTTTCATTTACTTCTGTCTAAAAGACTGGGTAGTATTATTTCCACGTTTGCTGATGATTAAAAGACAAGCTACAATTAGTGTACCTGTTATGTACTTTCTTCATTATTATTTGTTATTTTATTCCTTTACGTTCCCAGTGGAACATGGGGGGGGTTGGTTTCAAGCTAGAGCTTTGAAGTCTCCCTAGCAGTTGTATTTATTTTTACAGGATGGCGTTGCTAGCCCATGTTCAACCTTCCCTCTTTACTAGTCTTATTATTAGCCGCGGATCGAACCCCGAACCACATGAGGCGTGGTTGGCGAGCATTCTACCATTGTGCCACTGACCCACCTGTTACTTACTAACAGTTGTTAAATTATTCAATTTAATTTGGACTTCTCGTTGGCTGGCTGGACTGAATTGCTCGGTGCTCTGTTGATCTGCCCGGTTCAAGCCCCTTTGGGAACATTATCGCTCACTGGGGGGGGGGGGGGTAATGCAGGTACACCCAGATGACGAGTCGCAAATAGAACGCAATGCGCATCCTGCTGGATTCCACTGCCACTCACCATCCACTAAATTATTTCTTCATGCTGTTGACATAGTTGGCTAACACTATGTTGGCGTCTAACCACCTTCAACTCAACATAATCTCATACCCCCGTCACATTAGTTGCTCTCTAGTTGACTAGAAACTTGTAACGTTTTCATATCTAGTTTTCAGCAATCATGTTTCATCACTATTAACATTGGATAAGGTGAAGTATTGAGGAATATACACGTCCATTGCGCGGGGGGGGTGGGGGGAGTACGCATAGCTTCTCAATTCCCAGCTTAACCTTTGATGACAGTTGATACAGAATGTGACATATAGTGTTTACATTTATGATCATCCTGCATGAGTACACTCTTAGTAAAATTCAATCAAAGATATTACCTACCTACCTACCTACCTGTCTAACAGGAAAGTTAGGATTACGTCAGGGTGTGCAATAACACTCAAAGGATATCTCAAAAAACAAAAAAAGAAATTTAACCAAGTTGGATAAATACGTCATTTGCACAAAAAGAAATATGAAAGTGTCAGTTTGATGAATTTCAGTGTGTTTCATCCTTGTAATTGATTCGAAATATTTTAAGAGTCTTAGTGAAATGGTAGATTGTTGAAGTTGAAATGAGTTATACTCACATTTTCTTGTCGTATTTGTCTTGTTTTTTTGCTTTTTCATTATCATTTAAAAAACAAACAAACAGAAAGTTGAATCGGTAGTCGCTTCTGAAGACAATAATGATAATAACAATAGCAAAGAAGCATCTCAGTATCAACCATCTTCACGTTTCAATGACTTACGTTGTATACTGGAACAACATGGTGGCTATGCTTTAGATTTTAAAGGTGAAGCACATATGTTCAAAGTAAGCTGATCTAGTTAGTGATTGTTATTCGTAATTAAAATGAAACAAAGCCTGTATTTTATTATTATTATTATTCATGGTCTTTTTAGGATTTAACTCTGTTTTAAACAACATAATTCAAGTTTTGGTTTTCAGGGGGTTCGATTTGATTGATTACAGTATTTCATCATGAGCTGCCATCGATTAGAGAACCATTAGAAAGCCAACAGAGAGTGTACTGGACAGCCGTCTGTTTCATCCTAGTGCTTGGGACTCTTCACCAGTACGCACCCTCGCCATGGTTTTCACCCAGGACCTTCTGGTTACCTCGTAGACTACTGACCCGATCCAATGGCCAGCTAGCCCATGAATTCCAACTTCTGCCTGTCAATTCACGTTACAACGCGACTATTAGCGAATGTTAATTAGCAGCGAGTATTTGTCCTTACACCCGATAGTGATGATTGAATTTGTAGTGAAACTGAATCATAATAGGATTGAATACAGAAATCTATAAATGATTGGTGCGTCCGTGGCACAGTGGTAGAATGCTCGTCAGCCATGTCTCATATGGTTCGGGGTTCCATCCCCGGTCACGAACGCACTCTTTTACCACCTTGCTAAATTAGTCACAAGACTGGTAAAGAGGTTAACAACGGTGTCCCGTAAAAATAAACACCACTGCTACTGAAACTTCAAACCCCTAGCTTAGAGGTCTATGCTCCACTGGGAACGGAATGGGATAGAAAAAAATAATAAATAATTGACTTTTGTTCTCTTCACTTTCATCCTAGTTTTGCCTGCTTTCTTTTTTCCTAATTTTGTTAAATGTGCCAATTTTAAGTAATACACTTCAGTGCAAAGCACTACCATTAGTTTACCTGAACTGAACTGCCTTTAAAAAACAAAACTGTACTACGGGAACGGAACGGCGTAATTATAAATATAAGAAGACATGAAAAGATTAGCTGTCTTTGATCATAGATGCCTGCGCTTTATCTCTCGTGTGAAGTGGGATATTAAGGTGAAGTGATAGAACATGTTGACCACTTCACCTATTTGGGAAGTTGTATCAGCACCAGCGACTGATTGGCGACGAAATCTCAGCACGGATCCAAAAAGCTCGAGCTGCTTTCGCTGACTTCCGCCATCTCTGGCGTAGGCGTGACATCCGGCTATCAACCAAGGGACGTGTGTACTGCTCATCAGTTCGCTCCGTCCTTGTCTATGGCTCTGAAACATGGCCAATACGCGTTGAAGACATGAAAAGGTTGACTGCTTTTGATCATAGATGTCTGCGATCTCTTTCTCACTTTAGGTGGTATAATAAGGTAAGTAATGCTGATGTTAGGCGTAGAGTGTTGGGTAAAGAGGGAAAATCAATCGACGAGGCTATAAAGTTACACAGATTGAGATGGCTAGGTCACGTGCTGTGCATGCCTAACCATCGCCTCCCCCGACGGGCATTACTAGCTGATATAGGTGTAGGTTGGAAAAGGGTAAGTGGTGGCCAAACAAAAACACGGCCTGATCAATCCATGAAATCCTTGACAGTTAAACTGAGTCAGGTAGGTAGGGAGATGCAGACTTCCGGATTGGGGCCCTCGGGACTCTAGGAATCCATGGCTGGAGACAATAGGTGACATGGCTCAAAATCGTTGTCAATGGCCAGCGCAGATGTATTCAGTCTCTGTAATCTTTCATATTCCTTTCCACCATTACCCATTCTGTTTTGCTCTTATACTTGTCAAAGTCTATTGATTCTCTTCACTCATCTTCTTGTCTACGTTTGTGTGGTATTTGGAAGGTGGCAACTCGAAGTGCTGCACTTCGGTTCCAGGTTCTATGTTGAATCCAGATAGACAGAAGTTGAGCAATATTCACGTTGGGCGTCGAGTTCTAGGTGAGGAGGAAAATGAATCGACGAGGCTGTGAAATTACATCGACTGAGATGGCTAGGACATGTGTTGCGTATGCCTAGTCATCGCCTCTCTCGACGAGCAATGTTAGCTGACATAGGGTCAGGCTGGAAAAGAGCTAGCGGCGGTCAAACCAAAACATGCCTTCACCAGTCAATGAAATACACAACAGTTAGTTTAAGCCACGTAGGAAGGTGTAGACTTCCTAACTGACTGGTGGGGGTCCTCGGGACGGTAAAAACCAATGGTTGGAAACAATTGGTGATATGGCTCAAGATCGTTTTCAATGGATGGCGCAGATGCATCCACTCCTTGTGACTTATGATTTTAATGAAACTATATTGTTCTCCGTTATTGCTATTCCTTTGTTTCACACCTCTGTTTACTGTCCCTATTGTGCGTTTCTTGTACTTTCTTCTCTTGCTTTGTGTGCTAAATTGAGAGAGTGTGGCGACTTGAACTGCCGCATATGTTAGTCGCTTCCAGTCGTCCTTATTTCTACTTTAGTTGGTAAATCCTATTAGAGATAAGCGACAGTATGTTTTTGTCTAGACCCACTTAGTTCGCGGGATAAGTATTTCATGTTTCAGGCTATTAGCCAGCCAAACACATATTGTATAATGGCTGGTGATAACATCCGTTTATCGAAGCTGAAGTATATACAGTGGGATGGAAGTCTGAGACCCATCAGTTTAGAGTCAAGTACTTACGCCAATGAACCACATCTTCAAGGAATGATCTTTCTGTGAAAACAGAGAGAGAGAGAGAGGAAGAAAGAAAACAGGATTAATTCAGTTGGGTCTGGATGCATTCCTTGACGTCGTGTAGCCGATAATAAGTCGAGGAGAGAGGGAAGGTTGGGTGTAAGTCTAGCAATTGAACTCCGTTGCATGATTCAGAGCTTGTCGCCCTATGTTCCACATGCAGTACAACCAATGAAAGGAAAAATTCACTGGATAAAGACTCAGGATTTTATCTCCCTGTCCACTTTCTTTCCTTTGAAGATTATTAGAGGTAGGAGATTCATAAAACACTTCTGAAGTGATGACAACCAGTTGTGTCCGTCATAGATGACGCCCAGTGTCTCCACTTTTGTTTAATGTTATCATAGATGTACTAATGGATTGACTTTATCGACTCAGGGATTATCAGGTAACAGCCTCGTCCATTTAGAGTGTGCAAATGATCTAGATGAAGATGCTGACAAAATGCAGTCTTCTGATGGCTTGAATAGAAATCTTGGAATGTTTAACATGCGATTCGTCCTTGTCAAATTTACTCTTATGCTGTAGGACTGGACTCTACTGACTCCTAGCTTGAAGATAGGTATTTAAGTAGAAGATGTGAAGAGGTCAGCTATCTTTGACCATAAGTGTTTTTGTTCTATCTCTTGTGTTAAGTAGGATAATATAGTGAGTAATATTGACGTTTGAAACAGTGCTAGATGATAACTAAGGGAACTCGATCGATGAGGTTGTGAAACTGCATTGACTGAGTGGAATCCAAACAGGAAGCGATGGATGAGTTGTGTGTCCTTGGGTAACGTGGAGGAGAGATCGTGTGAATAAGAGATGAGAGATTAGGAGTAATCATGGACCCAGCTGAAGAGGATAGCAGAAAATAGAAAAAAAAGTGGAGATGTATTGTTGAAGCCCTATGTTCCACTTGGAATCCAAGGGAATACTAATATAATAATATGTATTATATTTCCCAAGCTATTGTCTTCTTCAGAGAACAGCGCTAACTGATATCAGAGTAGGCTAGAAAAGAGTTAGCAGTGGTAAAACTGTAACTTGGCATTACTCCATGAAGTCTTCAACAGTTGGTTCGAGCCAAGCGGAGAGGCATAGACTACCCAGTTTTCAAGGCAGTCAGAACCAGTGTCTTCAAACTGTTGATGATACATAGCCTGAAATCATTCTCAAGGAGGCAGATGCATTCGTCCCTCAAGTACATATTGTTTCTCCCGAATATTTTAGTTCATTAAGATCCCTTGAATTTTTTTTTATATTTCCCTCTTTTTTCAATGTTATTTCTTCCCATTTAGGCGATTACAGCTGGCATACTTACAAATTTATCAAATTCAGTTGAAATGATGCAGCAACACGAAGAGCATTGGCGTAAACGATTAGAACGTGAAATTGAAAAACGACGTCGATCAGAAGAGACACAAAAAGCTATGGGACAAGAATTGTTACATTTACGCAGTTTGATTGGTTTAAACACTAATCATCAATTTCAGTGTCAAAATCAACAGCATCCGCCTCATCATCATCAGCTCTACCAGCATAATTGCCATCTTACAAATAACGCATCACATTCAAGATTTTCCAGTTATGGTAGTATAGATTTCCAGCATTCTTCACCAGATGTTATTCTTAGGGAAAATGGTGTTGTTAAGTCAACCACAACAACCATTGTGAATAGTACGTCTGTGACTCCCACTGTTAATACAACTATTTCATCATCATCATCATCAGTTGTCGCTGGTGAAAATGTCCTGAGACTAGTTGGTCCAGATTATGAAGAGGGTATTAATTCTCCGATACGTGAAGAGGAATTCTTCGATGCTATTGATGCAGAATCGGATAAAATAGAAGGTGAGTTATTGCCACTAGCGCCAGCTTGTTGATAGCTTATTAATAATATATATATGTGTAAAACTTGGACACTGTGGTATTAAGTAATTCCATATTAGTTTGTTTATTAGATGTATCACACAGTGAAACGGTATCATTGTTTACTGGATGACAAGGATACGAACAAAATGTATTATTGTTCATCATTATATCAGTTGTAATTACATGACGTCGAAACTCGAGTTTTATAGTTTTCTTTGTTCTCTCTTGTTTGTCGTCCTTGGGGTAGTAGAATTTTCCACATATCCTGGTGGACAGGTGTCGAATCATTCCTATTAAATGTATCTGCAGTTGATTCGATAAACAAAGCTTCTGTTGTTATCTATCTCTCCCTCCACCTACCTGTTACAATGGATTTTAAAACTGTCATCTTATCCTATCCATCCTGTTGTATGGTTGTGTGTAACTGCATGTAGCGAGTGCTATAGCTGAACTATTCTCTAGATTTCGTAGCTTATTTCGGTCAAACAATGTAGATTTTTCTAGGTTTTTGTGTTTGGTTAGTCTGACTGCTCCTGTTCTACTAGTTTGACCCATGTATTTGACCTGACAATCATTTGAGGCAGGGTATTAGATAAACTAAATTATTTAGTTTTAAAAGCTCCACAGGATTGATCCTTTAACCGACAAAGCTTGTTTCTAATTGAGTTAGTGGGTGGCCTGAATGCCAGCCACTTTTATTCCTGCCTGCCTTGTTAAGAATTCTGCGTAAGGTGGTTTCCAAGGTTCCTTCCTTGTATGGTATTACTACTGATGATTTAGACTCTTCGTTGTTGGTGTCGTCATTAATATTATTGTTATTATTATCAGTATTATTATTATCACTATTTTTGTTATCATTATTATTGTTATAACTATAGCTTTTCGTATCCTCATTTTATTTCACGATAGGGCAGACTTACTTATGAAATTTATATACACAAGTACTTTCATTGGACACCTGGTAGTAACTGATGCTGCGTTTGTTTGGTCCTTCGTTATCCATGAAATCCTTGACAGTTAAACTGAGTCAGGTAGGTAGGGAGATGCAGACTTCCGGATTGGGGCCCTCGGGACTCTAGGAATCCATGGCTGGAGACAATAGGTGACATGGCTCAAAATCGTTGTCAATGGCCAGCGCAGATGTATTCAGTCTCTGTAATCTTTCATATTCCTTTCCACCATTACCCATTCTGTTTTGCTCTTATACTTGTCAAAGTCTATTGATTCTCTTCACTCATCTTCTTGTCTACGTTTGTGTGGTATTTGGAAGGTGGCAACTCGAAGTGCTGCACTTCGGTTCCAGGTTCTATGTTGAATCCAGACAGAGACAGACAGTCCTTCGTTTGGTGCAGACTGAATTCTATCAGTCAAGTTTCCAGTGTGGCCACCATTCTAGGTGGTTTGCCATCATGCAGGACTAGACGCTTAACATTACCCCCGACATACACCTGCTTCCTTGACGTGGTGGTTGAGTTTGCACGTCGCAATGACCAAACAAGCTATACTGGCTGGAACAATGGTTCCAGCAGGTCCTACCATGCTAGGAAGGTTGTTAGGATAGCGATGAGGCTAAAAGCAGTTACCGGAATAGTGCAAGATTTTTTGTTATTACACTATGCTGGGGGGTGGGGTCTGTGAGTGAAGTTGTACTGCTGGGAAACAGGGATGTAACAGTAGTGAGATGTTTCCCTCAGATGACCGGCATGCCAGCCAGCTATTCTGTCTCTCCATTCTGGAGAGAGGAGGTTAGGTCGACCCCAACAAATGTACATCCCGACTTACCCTACCGTGGTTGTAGCCGGTGATAATACGGGACTAAACCAGGAAGTCGGTTCAGACAGGTTGTGCGTGACCAGCTTCTAGCGGTTGTCCCACAGACCCTGTGGTTATGCGATACCAGTTCTCTTTCTGTTTCACGTGCTCCAAGAAAAAAAATCGAATTCCATGGTATGGACAGCCCGGGAAGTAGCAACCACCCACACACATCCAAAAGCACATTGAAGTCCTCCCGACCATTATTCTCCTTTATCAGTCAGCACTACCTAGTATCCAATCAAAGTATCCATTATAGTCCTACAGGAAGTTAATTGCGAGCACGAATAGCTCAGTGATGCTGTCACTGACTGCAGGACTTGGTGAGGCAGGTTCGGATCTCAAAAAGGAAATGAGTTCCTTCATTACTGCTAATACACTTCGCTGACTGGTGAATACCAACAGACGTAAAAATCTAGGTTCGAAGGTTTCATGCTGATTGCCTCCAACCATCTAGTAACACATAAATTGATTCCCTTTCTCTTCATTCTTTATTTTGTTGACTTAGCTGTTAGCGAAAATGATCATTCTTCTATGACGTACGTGTGAACCGGATTTAAAGATAGTGTTCACGTCCCGTGTGATGTTGTCGATTGTACAGTGCAATCGTCTGTTAATTTTTCAAATAGATTTGTCTATGTGTTACCTTTTATGCTCAATGGGGTTTGGCAGCTGAGTACTTTAAACTTCTCTTTGTTATTTGTTGTTTTCTGTCGTTGGAGAACTCTTTATGACAATAAACTTTCATCCTGCTTATGTTGAATCCTTTGAACAGAAAATAACATTAATAATAACAATAATCACTTTATTTCAAACAGTAATAATTATACCGATGCATCGGTGGCACAGCTGTTAGAACTCTCGCCGACCATACACATGGTCCAGGGTTTGATCCGCGGCCGACTCACACATGATATCAATGGTCGGCCTGCAAAATTGGGCTATAGATATCACATGCTGAAAATTCCATACTTGTACCAAAATTACGGTGTGGAGGCAAGATATAATCAAAAAAAAGAATGGAATTTTCAGCGTTTTTATACACATTGAAACAATTTGGCTGCTTTTAGATAAATATGTACGTATATAAAATTTAAAATATTAATGACAATAATAGTAATAATGGAACCAATATAAGCAGAATATTGATGGATACAATGAAGTACAAGTAGGTGGTATCATGGACAATACATGTGATAACAATCTTTCCTTATACTTTGCAGTTCACTTACACTGACTTCTTAAACAGTTTATAAGTTCTTTTCTCACATCTGACACTCTCTTCACACAGAACCCGGGTTAATAAATATGGTAGTATGGCAGGATTTGCGTTGAGTTATTTCTCTTGTATGTGTTGGGTGTAGACTCAATTCTCCATAGTGCAAGAATTAGGTTGGTACTAAAACCTACAAACTCATTCAGGTTGGACAAGCTCTGTAGGTTGAAGGACCCTGTAGGTTGACCCAATTAGACAAAATAATATAATTGACAAAATACCTTGCAATGACTGTGAGTGCGGTCAACCACATAGGTGAAACTAGTAGATCAAGCAGGAGTAGTGACATTAACACAAACCTAAGAATTTAAGTAAGGTTAGGATGATTGATCCTACCCACGAAGATAAGTCATTTAGAAAAAAGCACTACAATATCACTGTATGCATTAACACACAACCATACAATAGGGTGTGTGGCACAGAGTCAAAATCTAATAATTAATATAGGTAGATGAAGAGAGAGAGAGAGAGGTTGACTACTGAATCCTGCCTGGTTCATCGAGTCTACACCGAACGCACTCAACGGAAATGACTCATTGCAAATACCGGAGAAATATGGAAGATATTATTACCACCAGTCAAATCAATAGAGGATAACAAATAATGTTAAAATGTGTGTATTCAATTCACACATTATAACATTCTAACAAGATATTTATTTATTTTACTATGAAAACATCTTATTTCCCATCTGATTATATATTATTGACGACACAAATACTAATACTATTTCCGAATGTGTATTTTATCTTATATTGATTTTATTCAAATGTCTTACCATCATTTTTACTCATGTATACAATTTTCTGTAGTTGGTTTGTAAGGATTAACTTTTCTTTTACGAGTTGATCACGGATTGATATCACTCACGGAACCACTGAAAACCAGGGAGTACTAGACAGCTGCTGTTTCATCCTAGTTTTTCGGGAGTCATCAGCAGTACGCACCCACCGCCAGCGGGGTTCGAACCCAGGACCTTCTGGTTACAAGGCAAGCTGGTATACCAATTAGCCATTGGTGAATCAAGAAAGTTGTGTAACGACATAAGACAAGGGCCAGGCAACAGATCGTTTATTAAGGAAACCAACACATATTTATAGATTTTCATGTACATTATTATAGATTATTGTTAGCAGAAAAGCACAGTCCTCTGATTGATTGTTTGTCACAGAAAGTTAACCTTGCATTTCTTTGTGGCTGTTTCTTGAATGTCAGATCATCTATGTGTTAACTGTATCCGCCTACGCAAAGTGTTTGTTCGTGTCATTCTCACGACTAGTATTGTGGACATAAACATGGACGTGAATTACTGTCCACCAATTTTGACTAACAACCAGCTCTCACCACAATGTGAGTACAAATAAAGTGTGTAATTATTTTTCAATAGTTTACACACAATGATTCGTTTTTTTTACTGGTAATATTTCGAGCAAAATTACTACTGCCCGTGTTCACACCACTGTTGGAATTGTTTTGTTCGTTGGATCCTAATTCCAACAGTGGTGTGTGAACATGAGCAGTAGTAATTTTGCTCAAAATATTACCAGTAACAAAACTTATCATTGTGTTTAAACTATTGAAATGTAATTACACGCTTTATTTGATCTATTCCAGAATGCTCAAACTTTTTACTGATATTAATTATGTGAGTACATTGATGTGATTGATGATTATGAGCAGTAATAAATTGTGCTTGAAACGTGGTCATCATTAAATATAAGTTACTGAATAACAATGTGTGATTATATCAAAATAAAATTTTTTCCATTTTATCCAGTGATACTCACCTTTATCATACCAATTGTGTTTATCCGGATCGAAGTAGGTTAGGATGCTGCATATCACACGGAATTACCATATGTGCTGCTGCATAAGTTTAAGTGTATTTCTTAGTCGGCAAAGTTAAACTTTAAGCACCACCAACTACCAATCGGTGAATTTCCTCGGACCCCACCACTCGCCTGGAGGTACTTTTGTGCATGGAACACACATATATTTATGAGAAAAAAAAATGCATAAAAACTGTATACAAGAGTTACAGAGGATACCATTCTCATTTGATAAAAATAAGTTGGAGTATCAACAGAGTATAATTCCATTGTGGGTAAAAAAATTATTTTGATAAAGTCTCAGTGTTATTCAGTAACATTTACTGAACAATAAACTGTGCTTGAAACGTCATCAGTAAATATTACTGCATAGCACTGTGAGACTTTATCAGAATAAATTTTACCCACAATGGAATTATGCTCTACCACAGTGCACAAGAAGTTCTATTCTTACATCAACGGAGTAATTTATCCACATTCTATGCATGTAATTATTTGGATCTTCTTGCCCTAACAATAAGCCTAATCTTATCTAAAACTAGCCCTAACGTGAAAATATGCCTAAACTAACCCTAATATAACCTGAACTATCTTAATGTCACCTTTAGTAGGTTAACCTAACCCTAACTTGTCCTTGGCCTAAACCGCAACTTAATCTTTCCCAAACCTAAGTTGAAATTTTCCGGGTATCCCATTTAGTAATCTAGCACTTCGTCGGGCGTGTTCAATTGACGATGACAACATTACTTGCGAGGTTTCACTAATTTGCTCAGTTAGTATTTCAAAGTCATTCGTGTGCGATCACATTTCATTGGTGGTAGTCGGTGGTGCTTAAAGTTTCACTTGGCTTAGCCCTTTAGTCTTCATTGTATTTTCATCTCTCCTATGTCACTTTTTTCTATATTTATATACGTGTATACAGAGAATGCAGTACGTTTAGCTGCACTGAAATCAGCCAGTGAAGCAATTCGTTGGGCCAGGGCTATGCCATCAAATCATCCATTATATAATGAATTGGATAAAATTGTTAAAATGCATGTGAAAAATTTTGCTACTACACAAATATTTGATTATACACTGAATTTATCCTCCTCGTCATCGTCTTCTATACACTACAACGGTAACGGTATGCCATCGAATATTGCTGATTCTCAAAATACTAACAATCTGTCTGTTAGTGAACAAAATGTCAATGAAGCACCTGAAAACTGGAGACTTGTTGTTCAAGATGGTGATATGATTATTTTCAGACGAGAGCTTGAAACAGATGACGGTGTTGTACTGGATCCTTTACAGGTAAATTTTATGTTGATTATTGTTGTTGATGTGCTATCCAATTGTGTGTGTGTGTGCATACCTTTGTGGACTGCATACAACATTTGTGATTTGTGTTTGTTTCTTTGAGTTTATCACTTGGCTATAAGTTCCATTTTTTTCACCTAACCGCTAATTTCAATAAGTCATCTAATTTCAGACGTCCTAATAACTAGGCGAACAACAGATTGATTGAACAAAAATATTCATTCCTTCACTTCACTTAGCTCCTCAGCATCTTCGGCTGTTTACCCGGCTGACTCTACACTAATGTATAGTTTTCACATCAAAGTTTTCTTTTACCAATCTAAATCATCAGTAGTAATACCATACAAGGAAGGAACCTTGGAAACCACCTTACGCAGAATTATTAACAAGGCAGGCAGGAATAAAAGTGGCTGGCATTCAGGCCACCCACTAACTCAATTAGAAACAAGCTTTGTCGGTTAAAGGATCAATCCTGTGGAGCTTTTAAAACTAAATAATTTAGTTTATCTAATACCCTGTCTGCAATGATTGTCAGGTCAAATACATGGGTCAAACTAGTAGAACAGGAGCAGTCAGACTAGCCGAACATAAAAATCTAGCAGCAAAATCTAGATTAGTTGACCCAAATAAGATAAGAAATCTGGAGAATAGTTAGTTCAGCTGTAGATAGCTCTCACACACAACCATACAACAGGATGGATAGGATAAGATGACAGTTTTAAAATCTAATGTAACAGCTGGGTGGAGGGAGAGATTGATGAAGAAAAACTTTGTTTATGGAATCAACCAACTGCAAGCACGTGTAATAGGAATGATTCACCATCTGTCCGCCCAAGTATCTGGAAAGTTCTACTACCCCACCGACAACAAACAGGAGAAAACAAAGAAGACTATCAAACTCAAGTTTTGAAGTCGTGCAATGGTAATTGATGAAATGGTTATGAACAATAAATTTTGTTTGAAACATTGTCATCCAGTAAACAATAGTACTAGTTCACTGTATGGTATATTTATTAAACAAACTCATATAGAAGTGGTTATTTTATGCTATCACTCTTAGATATAAAAAGGGGAGGGGGGGGGTGAAATTAAGAGGTTAAAGGTCATCAAAATAATTAACTACTAATAGATGTTGGCAACAAGATATCCAAGTTTTAAAGAAGAAAAGAAAATTAATTACGAAATTCAAGATAAGCTGATTCTTAGGCTAAATAAAGTATAATTATATATATATTTCAATGGTTTACACACAATGATAAGTTTTGTTATTGGTAATATTTCGAGCAAAATTACTGCCCGTGTTCACATCACAATTGGAGTTGTTTTGTTTTTGTTATGTACTCGTCGCTAAATTATTGTTATGTACTGGTCGAGAATTTAATAGTCCTGACGCAAGGAAGACGGAAATCAGAAGACCACTAGGTTTGCGATGATACTTCTATTTTCCAAAACACCAGGAGAAGCAATAAGTGGTATCACACCAAGGTAGTAAGTAAGTCACACAAATTGTGAGAGCGAAATATATATGACCATCCAGACAAGTGTGTGAACAAATCAATAGACAGTCTTAACATGAATGGCTAATTATAATGGAGTGTCGATCCAAATATACATAGCAAAATATAGCAGACATGTCAACAACCACCATATATGGATATATGTCACCAAGCAACGGACTGTCAACAAACACTCATATTATATTATATATAATATAAGGAGAATATACATTGTTAAAGGAGACAGGTTCATCAAAGTGAAATGGTCACAGACTAAGCGAGCAAACAGAAAGAGAGATCACCATACACACACACGCACATATATATATATATATATATATGGGTACATATCAGTTTTTTAATTCTTAGGCTTTAGCAACAAATTATTACACATTCACGAAATTTGTAAAATAACAATGGTGACTTAGAAGGATAAGATGACTCAGAAAAATTACGTGAAATACAAACAAGTTAATAGAATGAGTTAAAATTGTAAAAAAAATAACAAAGTGCAAAGGTAGTTAGTTACAAGGGGATAGGAAAAATCGTCGTAAATACTCAATACATATTATGTTTTTGGCCATAACAAAGAAAAGAGGCTGTACAAACTTCTTGTTCAGATGAATTCCGATTGCCTCTACCGTATGTAAAAGTTGTACTCGTAGACCATGCGAAAGGTTGAGTGAAATACGATAAAATAACTTTAAAAGCTTTGTGTTGTAGTCAACTTTTGATGTCCAGTCAGTGTCGATGAGATGAGCTCTAGTATTTAGCTGTGTATAGGAGCTTTATTCGCACCTTTGCCAAACCAAGATGGGAGGTGTTCAGAAGTCCGACAATGAAACTTGACTGATCGTACGCCCTATATAACTAGCTCCACACATGGCAGCTAACTGGTACATACACATGGAAGAGGCGAAACAGTGCAGTTTGGTTGGCTTATGAATATACAGAATAACTTGTCTGAGTTAATAAAAATCCTTTTAAAGACCATTCTCCGACGTTGTGATAACACTTCACTATTAATACCACTCGTGAATTGCAATTTTATAGAAGACTGACTTTTTGAGGCCGCTGGTCACCTTCGACTTTTTACTTGCTGAGTTCATGTGTTTGTCCAAACGTTTGGTCGGATATCTCTTTCTACTTAGTAGATCACAAATATTACCAAGTTCTTTGCTCATATATATATATATATATATATATATATATATATAATACTGTATGTAGTATTGCAAAGTTGGAATAAGAAAGATTTAAAACAATTATCTCTTTATGAATTTAGATAAAGCCATAAGAAGACGTAATTTGTCTGAATCGTGTAATTTTGTATTTGCGCAAACAACACATTTCGAACTATCTGATCGAACACACAGACTTGTCATAGGAATATATATATATATATATATGGCCGGGCTTGCACACCGCGATGACCCAACAAGCTGTACTGGCTGGAACCAATGTTCCTGGAGGTCCTATCATGCCAGGAAAGTTGTTGGGATAGCGATTAGACTAAAAGCAGTTACCGGAATTGTGTAAGAATCTTTCTTACACTATGCTGGGGGTCTGTGGGTGAAGTTGTACTGCAGAGGAAAAGGGATGTAACAGCAGTGAGGTTTTCCCTCAGATGACCAGCATGTCAGCCAACTATGCTGTCTCTCCACTCCGGAGAGGGGGGGGCTAGAAAAGGTCGACCCCAAAAATTGTGCATCCCGACTTACCCTACGGTAGTCCGTAACCGGCGGTGAGTTTACTCACACGGAACGAAATCAACAAACCAATTCACACAAGCCTTGTGTGACCGGCCTCAAGCAGCTGTTCCAGGGGCTCTGCAGTCATGCAACACGAACCGTCTTTCTGTTTCAGGTACCCGAAGAATCAATCAACTTCCACACTGTAGGCAGCCGGGAAGTAACAACCGCCCACACACTTCCAATAGCACACGAAGACTTCCTATGATTAGACTGATTTGAACTCAACCATTATTAACTGTTCAAAATGTTTATTTTTTTTCTTGTGTACACTTTATTCTAGGCTATCGATGTTGTTCATGGTGTTACTGCCAAAGAGATTTGTACATACTTTTGGGATGTACGCTATCGTATGGATTGGGAGTTTACAGTGGATCAAGCACCGACAGTCCTTGAAGTCTGTGGAGATGATACTGTAGTCATACATCAGGTATGAATAGCTGCCTTTTGCTTTTCTTTCTTGTTTAAGTATTTTAAATGTAAATGTAAAATATACTTGAAAATTGATTGGTTAACTTTTGTGTTTGTCGGTCAGATTAAAGTCTGTGAATTCACTGTAGTTCTGCTGCAGATACTTAATCTTCACTAAATCTCCAAATCGTCATTTACACAGATTTCTGAGTTGTGTTGGCTAATTCTGCTACTTCATATAGCGTTTCTGTGTCTTCTTTTTATGTCTTTCATGTTTTCCCACAACACTGAGCCATTTCCTCTCTTTGACGTCAAATCTCTAACTTATATCAATCCCTATCGGTCCCTACAAAAACCGATTCTTGAGAATTAATATGATGTTCGCTAGTGACTAGCTACAGGACAAATTTGTCCTTGGAGAGTTCTAGTGAGTTGTGACCGATGGGGGGGGTCCATCTTGTCGGGAGTGAGGATGAATTTCCCACCGATGACCACCGGTTGGCTAGTGCGCCAGTCGCACTAAAATCACGAATCCGTAGAAGTTAGAACTCATAAGCAGCTAGCCATTGAGTTGGGTTCTAGTGTCTGAATGGTCTTCGAGCTTGCCTTGAAACCTCTGAAGGAAGGTCTTGGGTTTGAGCCCCGATAACGGTTGGATGCGTACTGCCGATGAGTCCCAAGCCCTAGGATGAAACAGCTAGCCGCTGTCCAGTACTTCCTGTTGGTTTTTAGTGGTTCTCTAAGCTGATATCAATCCGTAGTCCAACCTGATACAAATAAAATTCCTACAAACGAATTCTTGAAAAGTTATTTTATCAATAATAATAATCAATAACTGACGAGGATATCAAAGCCAGAATCGGAAAAGCAAGACAAGCTTTCATTACTCTCAAATCTGTGTGGAGGTCAACAGCACTCAGAATCAAAAATAACATCCGGATTTTCAACTCCAATGTGAAGTCAGTGCTACTATACGGATCAGAGACTTGGCGAGTCATAAAGAGCATCTCAAACAAACTTCAAACCTTCATTAACAGCTGTCTCCTCTCAATACTCAAGATCAGATGGCCAGAAAAGATCAGAGACAGGGATCTCTGGGAGCGAACCAATCAGGAACCGATTGTGAAACAAATAGGCAGAAAGAAATGGAGATGGATTGGCCATACGCTGAGGAAACCATCAAGTGACATCACTAGACAAGCCCTCGAGTGGAACCCGAAAGGGAGGTGGCGAGTTGGTCGTCCAAGGGTGACTTGGAGGAGGTCATGCGAGGAAGAGATGAAAGCATGTGGACATACCTGGAGCAGGGTGAAAAAGTTGTCAGAAAACCGAAGGCAATGGAGGTGCGCAGCTGAAGCCCTATGTTCCTCTAGGAACTAAAGGGTACAATAAATAATAATAATATAAATAATATAATAATAATCATCGTAATCATATCAGCCTTTTTCTTGGTTTGTTTGTGTGCGAATCTTGAAGTCAATATCCATACGACTGACACTGTGTGTGTATATATCATCTTGATTCAACTTCGTTGTTGTTCTATCTTGAAACAAGACATTCTTGTGCTCCATACAACTGTTTTCTCTACATTTTCTTCTCCTAGAAGTTTCAAGCTATTTAAAAATACAACAACGACGTGAGTTCATATTGCGAATGCAAACATATTATTATTAATATTATTAAAAGACTGAAACAAACACACGAAAAATCAGAGAGAGAAGTGTAGGATGCATTTTCTCTAGTATATAGACCTATACACACTCATTTATATATAGTTCAGTTTACATTTGACTGACTGACTGGTTTCAACATAGAACTTTGCGCCGATGTGCAGCAGTTCAAGTCGCCACACTCCATCCACGTAGCACACAAAGCAAGAGAAGAAAGTAAAAAGAAACGCAAAATAGAGACAGTAGACAGGGATATGAGACAAAAAGAATAGTAATAACGAAGAACAATATAGTTTCATCGGAAATTATAAGTCACAAGGAGTGGATGCATCTGCGCTGTTCATTGAGCCATATCAATGATTGTTTCCAGCCTTCATTGGTGTTTACCGACCCCGAGGACCCCAACTAGTCAGTCAGAAAGTCTACACCTTCCTACATGGCTGGCTTAAAACTAACTGTCGCAGATTTCATTGACTGATGAAGCCATGTTTTTTTGTTTGACCACCACTAGCTAACTCTTTTCCAATCTGACCCTATGTCAGCTAACATTGCCCGTTGTCGAGCAAGCCGATGGCTAGGTATGCATACATACCACATGTCCTAACCATCTCAGTCGATGTAGTTTCACAGCCTTGTCGATTGATTTCCCCTCCCTCCTTACCTAGCACTCGATTAAAGCCTAGCCTCAATATTGCTCACCCTATTATACCACTCCACACGGGAGACAGAAGGCAGACACCTATGATCAAATAAAGCTAACCAGCTTTTTCATGTCCTCTAATCTCAATGGCCAGGTCTCACAGCTGGCCATAACGGAGGACGCAGCGGACTGATGAGCAATGCACACGCTCTTTGGTCTATAGCCAGCTGGATATCACGTCTACACCAGAGACGTGTAAACTGGCATATGCGAAACTAGCCCTCTATATCCGTTCTAAGATTTTTTCAGTGATCAACCCGTTGGCATTGGATGATGCAACTTCCCAAAGCGCTCAGCCAACACTTCACTTCCTATTTCTAAACTAGGATTCAATCTAGTCCAGTTCTGTAGTATCATATTACATTTGACGAGGGAACGTTTCGCATGCCAAACATTCGTAGAGTGTTCAGAAGACTGCTTGTATTTTGTCAGCATCTTCACCTAGAAGAAATATGTCATCCGCATATTTTAAGTCAATGAGATCATTCCCTGTTGGTAACAAGTCAATCCCTGAGTCTCTGGAGTCAGTTAGGATGAATTCCATTAATATATCTATGATGAAACTGAATAGAAATGGGGATAATAGGCATCCCTGTCGGACACCACTAGTTGTTACCAGTCCAAATGACAACTCACCGTAAGCTCTCACCCGGCTGGCTGTATAAGTTCAAGTAGAGTGAGTATGCAATATATTTTCTCGGCATTTGGAAACTTGTTACCGCTCTCCTCCGCCGCCACCCTATAATTTTATTTATCTGATTGTAATGTGCAATGTGTATCGTCTTATCTTACTTGATGGATGGCTTGGCTTGTTTACACTCCAGTTGGTCGTTGTTTTTGTGCCTACTTATTTTTTCTATTGCCTTTGCTGAAACATGAATTATCCATCCAGCTATCTGTCGTTTCTAACACTGTTATTGTTTTGAAGAGAGAAAGTCATTTTATAATATGACCACTGATAAATTAGTGTTTGATGGTGTATACGGTATTTGATGGAACTGTAACATATCATGCTGAAGGTTAGAAATCGACCAGTTATAATCATTTCTGCTTTTTTTTATCGAATCAGCGCTCAACATCAGCGCACACATATACAAATTCTCAGGTATGTAAAACGTTTTATAATCACCTTTTGTAAATTTCTTTACGTTCCCAGTGGAACATAGGAGCTTGCAGCTAGAGGCAGCTTGAAGTTACGGTAGCACTAGTGTTTATTTATGTTTTCGGGTTGGGGTCGCCAGCCTCATACCCATCCTTCCCTCTTTACCGACTTAGTGAGGTAAACGAGTGCGTCCGTGGCCCGGGGATCGAACCCCGAACCAAATGAGGTATGGTTGACGAGCATTCTACCTCTGTGACACCGTCGGTTATAACCACTACAATCAAAATAAAAATAAAAACAAACTAGTTTCTTGCACATAACATCATGGGAAGTAAGTTGAGTACTGCGTTTACTGTACACTTTGTTGAATATGAGACGACTACATTCACATATATAGTCCTGAGTGAGACCTTCACATTATTGTTATTCTACTGATTTTGTTTGTTGTCTGTTGCTTTCTTTAGGTGTATAAACGTGTATGGCCTACAACACAACGTGATGCATTATTTTGGTCGCATATATGCCCTGTAAATCCTATGCATCAAAAATCTTATCATCGAAAGTTGAATCATAGCTCTAGTATGTCAATGCAGCATCATTCATCCTCAAAGAATTATACTGATGATAGTGATATTAGTCATAGTAAAGTTCATCAACGTTCAGCATCTATGGATGGCGGTGTTGGCGGTGGCGGCGTCGGTGGTCGTTGTACATCATGGATTGATTCGTCATCTACAAAGTCACCGAATACACGATTACATAATTTGTCTAAAGAATCCAGTATACCAGAGAATTCAATACCAAATAATAAAATCAATGATGACAAAGTTTTAGACGGTTGGATGGTGATCAATATGTCAACGGATTATTTATCCGATAAAATACAACCATCACCATCACCTACTGTTCGATTAGGTCTTGAAGTTGTCCTATTCTGTCGAACTGAATTAATAACCACCAACAACAACAATGGATCAATGATGTCAAATAATGGTGATAATGATGATTTATCAAAGTTAACCCGTGATCAAATTCAAACTAGACTTGTGTATATGGCAAATATTAATCCAGGTGGTTGGGTTCCAGCCGCTGGGCTACGTTCACTTGCTCGACGTGAATATCCACGTTTCTTAAAACGTTTCAGTGCTTATGTTAAAGATCAAACTAAGCATAAAACTCCATTATTTTAAATATTTGATTCATTCAATGGGATGTGTTGTTTTTTCTTAGACCTTATTTTAATTAAACAGAACTTCTACTTAGTTACTAGTAGTTGTAGTTAGTAGTAGTTTTTTGAGGGGGAGGAGAGGGTTGCCGGGATGGTTGATGTGAACGTGTTATTCGTTTGTTGTCGACTGGTGTCTCACCTTCACTTGTCGACTAACTACTTACTACCTTATCTACTCACTCAGGTGATACTGTAGGCTTTTATTGATTTGTTTTTTATTTGTTTGCTTCATTATTTTTTTTTCTTTTTAAATCTTACTGTAATTTGCATTGGATTTCATTTTCCTGTCAAGGTGGTGGTGGTTTTGCTAAGGGTTGTGTTATTATTATTATTTTACTTTATGACACTTGTATCATTTGTGCTGCAGAATTTCTATTCGTCAATTCAACATCTGTGATATACATGTATGCATGTATGTATGTATAAAAACATCTACATATCTGTTTTTTTTGTGTGTGATGAATATGCGCACATTTCACAACATGATGATGTGATACTGTGGGGTACTCCCTGTCTTTCTCCTGTTTGTGTACCTCTACTGTCTATTATCTCTTATGGTGACATCAATACTAGGCAAAGAAGTGTGCATATCTCCTCGGTGTGAGATGATGAACTATTCACAAGTGGGATATCAATACCATACTCTAAAAAAAAATGTGATCAACTTCAACCTCGAATTCTATCCTTTCTTTTCTAATTTATAACAAAAGTTTTTATTTCTTCTCTGAAGATGTATTTCATTATTTTGCATTGTAATATATACCGTATATTCATCTCTGAGACCGTCTTGTCGATAAATGTGTTTGTCTCCTTCTAAACTTATGTTTATTTTCTATAAGAATGGCGGTATTTTGAAATATTTCAGGGAATATAAACATTGAAGGTGTTGTTTCTTCTCTGTTTGGTTTCTTTCTCACCTTTCTATGTCTCTTTGTGCGTGCGTGTGTGTGTGTGGTGGGTGTGCTATACACTTAATGATACCCGAAACTGTGCTAATTTACATCGTATTAATGATTTTTTCAATATTTTTTTCTACTTGTAGCACCTTTCGGTTTCATCTTGTGTGTGTGTGTGGGTGGGTGGGTGGGGTGGATGAATAGATTTCACTTGCTTGCTTCTGCTTTTCTATCGATTTCCATATTGTTTAGTGATATAATGTGTCTTTTTTTCATAGGTGTTTTTGTCATGACGAAATCAGCACTGAAATATGTGAGAAATTCTACACTGTGCTGAAGATGGTCATGCAGTCTGAAGTTGTTGTTTTTTCTTTGTTTTCTGTGCTCAATTTCACCGACAATCAATAGATGATTTCCATCATCATCATCATCAGACCTTCTTCAATATTGACTCATTTTGTATTTGGAAAAATTCAATGCTTATTTTTAACTGAACAGTAGAGAGAATAATGTCAACAGCCCTGTCTCTCCCTTCGTCTCTGAGCGATCCTCCTGCCCTACAAGTACTGTATCGTCGTCATCTTCATCAGCCAAATATCGGTTTTTACATAATTTTGTTGTAAATTGTATTTTTTTTTTGGTTTCTGGTGTAACAAATAAGGATGGTCATGTTGTTGTTATTGCTGTTGTTGTTGGTGTTGCGTTGAGCAAATAAGCTGAAAAAATATGATCAGTGTACTGGTACGAATGAGCGATCCCTTTCTGTCTTTATGTTGAACAGATTCTAATGTTGATAATAATGTTCTCTCAGTATATATTCATTCTAACGTTGTTTTGCTAAATGTAAGGTGATGATGCTACAGGACTGAACTGGACTAAATTGACTCGTAGCTTAGAAGTAGGGAGTGATGGTGTACAGCACGCTGACCACTTCACTCACTTATTCAGGAAGTTGCATCAGCTAGTGCCGACAGGTTGATCACTGACGAAATCGTAGATCTTTTTGATGTGGTTTTGTTCTCTGAGCTGGATGGTTAATTTGCGAAGCTTTCATCACCCTACTAGGTGACATCTTCAGCGCATACTTCAATTTGTTGAAGTGAGCTTTTAGATTTCTCGACCAGCTTATTAATCATCTCTCCTGACGGGTGACCTAGGACGTGATTGGTTGTTTATGTGTGTTTTCACATCTTCTAGGTTATTTGTATTGGAACTGACTGTTTCTTTGACTTGAACTTTGACCCTTTGTGTGTGTGTGTGAGGTTTCTTTCTTATTGGTTGATAAATTTCGTCTATCTCGATGTGTTTATTTATTGATGATTCACTGGAATGCCAAGCTTCTAAAAATTCTCTAGCATTCTTGTTGTTTCCTCTGTCTAATATTTATGTATAAAGGATATCTCAGAAATCACTACAAGACTCTTCAAACCTTTAGGAATTGACGTCGTACACAAACCAACAATGTCGCTTCACTCAATTCTATGTCAGCCAAAAGACTCAACAGCGAAAGAAGATAAAACCAACATCATCTACAAAATAAATTGTAACAACTGCGAAAAACACCGCGTTGGCCAAAGTGGATATCGTCTTCGTATCCACGATCATAAACTAGCCGTCAAAAGACATGACATCTACTCCCTCATATCACCACACTGCATACAAACAACCACGGACATCAATTCCACTGGGACAACAAACGTTCAAATATTAGACAAAGGAAATAACAAGAGTGCTAGAAAATTGTTAGAAACCCACCTGGTATTCTAGTGAATCATCAATCAATAGACACATCGAGATAGACAAAATTTATCAACCAATAAGAAAGAAACTTCACACACACACACACACAAAGGGTCAAAGTTCAAGTCAAAGAAACAGTCAGTTCCAATACAAGTCACCTAGATGGTATGAAAACACACAAAAATAACCAATCACGTCCTAGGTCACCCGTCAGGAGAGATGATTAATAAGCTGGTCGAGAAATCTAAAAGCTCACTTCAACAAGTTGAAGAATGTGCTGAAGATGTTGCCTAATGGTGGTGTGGCAATGAAAGCTTCGCAAATCAACTATCCAGCTCAGGAACACAACCACATCGAAATCATCCACGTGAGGTACAAATCTTCTCTATCATATCGAAATCGTAGATCATTGAGCCACTGTTACTGGATCCAATGGCCCATGAATTCCAACTTCTGCCTTCCAATTCACGATACACTACGAGCCAATTTCATTCGGGGCAACTGTTTGTCATCATGCCCGACCTGCTGTACCCTACTAGTTACGACTTGCACTGTTTCATTTGCGGTTACAACAGTTACAAACAGTTCTGTTGTCCATACAGAACAGTCAAAATTCAATTAACTGTACAGTGTGCTTAAAATGCAATAGCTATAAACAGAGCCAATCACAGTTGGATACGATTAATTTTTAAATATTCGCATTAATAATATTAGAACAAGATATATAAGCGAACATTATACTTGTTTTCAAGTAGATTCTTAGGCTTTACTCTAATTTATACAGACATATATAATATAGAAATCTAACCAATGACGGTGAGTTTGTGGATCGAATAATAGTTATAAGTGTTTTGAACGTCAGTAATAACGATGATTGTAATGAAAATAAGATCTAGGTGGGTGGTAATAAGAATAACTAAGGTGATACGTGTGTACATTTAGAAAATTCAATCAATAAATAAATTAGGTCTTATCTCAAAAGTTACGTAATACTAAAGATGAAGTGGTCAGATAATCAGAGTTTAAGTTAATAAATATAATTAAAACACGAAGGAAACTGAAAAAATAAGAATGGTGTGGGAAGGTTTCAATTAAACTTTACCAACTAGGCCAAGGAGAGATAAAGGTAAAACAAACTTCTTTTTTTTTATGCCAAGACTAGGATTGTTCTTTCGAATTAGTTCCCATAGCTTAGGCTATGCGTTTAACAGGGGGGTTTGAATTCCTTTTGAAAGGTTGAATGGAATGCGAGATAGGTAACTTTGAAGGTATTTCTTCTTCTTCTTCTGTTCACTTGGTGTCCGCTTTCAATCATATGAGTCATAATAGAGCTTCTTATGGATTATATTCGGCCTTTTCTGAACCATGTAGGAAGATGCTCAGTAGTGATGTCTTTGTTGAGCTGTTCGCTCTATATAGCTTTCTCCTCAGAAGCAGCTAAAGTTTTCTAAATACACATAGAATTGGCATAGCTAGGCAGCTTGTCTTTCGTTTGAGCAGTCATAATTGACCCGCTGGAAAAGTTAAGTGGTCAAATGTATTTCTTTAGGCTTGTCTAAAAGTATTTTGGGCCTTATGTTGTTTTGCAAACTCACCAATTAGGAAGATGTTACAATCTAGATGGTCCTATTGTACACTTATACTATCCTCAAATTCAAACTGCCAGAAATACAGTTAGTAATTCAAATCATCATAACGAATTAGGATTGTTCACAAAACGAAATATGTTTCGAAACTGACGCTGTTAGAAACCCAGATGACTGCTTGGCTAACTAGACATGGTGTACGGACGGACAAGGGAATGTAACATAATAGCGTGCCAAATAAGATAGGTTAACTTCAGCAGTGTGTGCTAACACTTAATCCTGAATTAATGGTGAGGCTGTAGGCTAATAATGCTACGGAATTATTCAACCTACAACAGCACTCAGCATCAGAAATAAGATCTGGATTTTCAACTCCAGTGTGAAGTCAGTGCTACTCTTTAAACGGGTCAGAGACTTGGCGCGTCATAAAGAGCATTTTAAACAAACTACAGACCTTCATCAACAGCTAGCTGCCTTCGCTCAATACTCAAGATCAAATGGCTAGAAAAGATCAGCAATGAGGATCTCTTGGAGCAAAGCAACACAACAGGAACCGATTGTGAAACAAATAGGCAGGAAGAAATGGAGATGGATTGGACAGCCATACTCTGAGGAAACCATCGAGTGACATCACTAGACAAGCCCCCGAGTGGAACCCGAAAGGGAAACGTCAAGTTGGTTGTCAGTGCGAGGGTGACATGGAGGAGGTCTGTCTGTCTGTTTTCAACATAGAACTTTGCAACGATGTGCGGCAGTTCAAGTTGCCGCACTCCCTCTTTGTAACACACAAAGCCAGAGGAGAAAGTAGAAGAAAGGAATAATAGAGACAGTAAACAGAGACATGTGGCAAAAAGAATAGTAATTTTGAAGAACAATATGGTTTCTTTGGGTATTGTAAGTCACAAGGAGTGGATGCATCTGCGCCATCCATTGAAAACGATCTTGAGCCATATCACCAATTGTTTCCAACCATTGGTTTTTACCGTCCCGAGGACCCCCACCAGTCAGTTAGGAAGTCTACACCTTCCTACGTGGCTGGCTTAAACTAACTGTTGTAGATTACATTGATTGGTGCCATGTTTTGGTTTGACCGCCGCTAGCTGTTTTCCAGCCTGACCCTATGTCAGCTAGCATTGCTTGTCGGATGAAGGCGATGACTAGACATACGTAACACATGTCCTAACCATCTCAGTCTTTGTAACTTCACAACTTCGTCGATTGATTTCCTCTGTTTATCTAGAACTCCACGCCTAAGCTCAATATTGCACACCTTGTTATGCCACTTCACACGGGAGATAGAACGCAGGCACCTATTATCAAAGACAGCCAATCTTTCCATGTCTTCCACTCTCAATGGCCAGGTCTCACCAGCACATAAAGGAGGACGGAGCGGACTGATGAGTAGTACACCCGCCCTTTGGTCGATAGCCGGTCATATCTTGTCCACGCCAGAGACGGTGTAAACTGGCATATGCGAAACTAGCCCTCTGTATCCGTGTTGAGATTTCGTCAGATATCAACCTGTTGGGGCTGGTTGATGGGACTTCCCAAATAAGTGAAGCGGTCAACGTGCTCTACCACTTCACTTCCTATTTCTAAACTAGGAGTCGGTGTAGTCCAGTCCTGTAACATCATCTTGCATTTGGCGGGAGCGAATCGCATGCCAAACATTCGTAGATTGCGGCTCAAGGTGTTTAGAAGACTCTGCATTTCGTCAGCGTCTTCGCCTAGAAGGACTATATCGTCTGCATATTCCAAGTCAACGAGATTATTCCCTGGTAGCAAGTCAATCCCTGAGTCGCTGAAGTCACCTAGGGTTAAGTCCATTAACACATCTATGATGAAGTTGAATAGAAAAGGAGATAATGGGCATCCTTGACGGACACCACTGGTCGTCATCAGTTCAGATGACAGCTCGCCGTAAGCCCTCACCTGGCTGTATGAGTACGAGTAGAGTGCCTTAATCAGTGCAATATATTTTCTTGGAATTCCCTTTACAGCCAAGCATCTCCAGAGAACTTCCCGATCGACAGAGTCGAATGCTGCCTTTAGGTCAAGAAATATAATGACTGTTGGACGCCGGTAGGAATGCCTATGTTCTAGAATCTGTCGGAGGGTGAAGATATGATCAATACACCCTCTTCCTGGTCTAAAGCCTGCCTGGCTCTCTCGTGTTTGTGCTTCCCGAGCACCACTCAGTCTACGCATGATTATTGAGCCTAAGACTTTAGATACTATATTAGTCAAGCTAATCCCTCTGTGATTATCACAGGAAGACTTGTCTCCCTTCTTGTATATGGGGATAATCAGTGACTTACACCAACCCGATGGGACTTCTTCTGATTCCCAGACGCTGCCTAGTACCTCAGTTAATCCGGACAGTAAGCTGTCTCCACCGTACTTAAATACCTCTGGAGTCATTCCATCAGGTCCCGCTGCTTTGCCTAGTTTCAGATTGGTGACAGCTTTAGTAACCTCAGTTAGTGACGGAGGACCTGTGTCTATATCCCATTCAGGGAGGTGTTGGATGCTCGGAAGGTTGAGCGTGGCTGTGGGCAAATTAAACTGCTCCTCATAATGCTCTTTCCAACGATCCAGTCGTCTATCCTGGAGCTAATTATAGTGCCATTTTTTTCCGAGATTGTCTCACTAATGATTTGTCTTCTCCCACCCGTTTCCCTGATGAGTCCAAAGAGTTGCCTGGTGTTGCCTATCCTCGAAGCTTTCTCCATCTCTTTGGCTTTTGTCGCCCACCACTGTTCACGGTCCTTGCGGAGACTTTTCGTAAGTTTCCTCTTGTGCAGCTTTCGCTCCTCATTGAATTCGGAGCTCGCCGGAATAAGTCTTCTAGCATCTATCAGTTCGGATGAGGCGGTGGAGATCCAGTGGTTTTTACTCACCTTTGGGTTTACCTTATTCACAGCTTTTACAGCTGTATCTATGGCTGCCTGGATATTTTTCCAAGCTTCTTCAGGGTGAGCACAGCTGTCGAACACAGATATGTGTTTAGCTAGTTCTTCCTCAAATACGGATTTAGTTTCCTGATCGAGCTGGGGACGTGATGGTTTTACCGCCAGCTGTTTCCTACGTCCGTTCAGTCGTAAGCACACCCGAGCGCGGACCAGTGCATGGTCGGTATCTACGCACGTGTTCCAGAAGGAGCGACAATCTCCTACCGACCCACGCCAACGATAGCTTATTGCTATGTGGTCTATTTGTGTCCAGCGTTGGTTTGATGAAGGGGGTCTCCAAGTCAAACAGTGTCTCTCCTTGTGTTTGAAGTTAGTGCTTACAAGAAACAAATGATTATCAGAGCAGAACTGTAGGAGACGGTCACCGTTGTCGGTTCGCTGGCACGGAACTCCATAGGTGCCACCGACATCCTTCTCAGATTGACACAATTTCCCTACTTGAGCATTAAAGTCACCAGCTAGAACGACTGTATCTGAGCGTTTAGCCTTTCGCAGCAAACTAGACAGCTTTTGGTAGATCTCATCCTTCGTTTCATCCGAACTGCAGTCAGTGGAAAACCTGGGTGTACTGGACAACTGTTTCAACCTAGTTTGGGACTCTTCAGCAGTACCTACCCACCAGAGCTCGAACCCAGGACCTTCTGGTTACAAGGCGAGCTAACTCGTAGACCGTTAAGCCACTGGGACCCGATCTAATGGCCAGCCCGTGAATTCTAACAATTCGCGATTTTAGCGCAACTGGCAACAGCCAATGTCATCAGTGGAAAATCCATCCTCATTTCCGATTGCATGAAACTAACTGGTTACCACTTCGCACTAGAATTCCACAGGCAACTCCGTTCTGTAACAAGTCACTAGCGAGAATATAGCGGGATATCTTGTCCACTTCATAAGTGTGACTTCAAACCTCAATTTGATGTTGAATATATTTCGTCATACATAAAAAATGTAGGCTGTTAAGATGTATGCCAATGTATTCAGTGGCGAGTATTTGTCGTCACACCGAACCTGCTGCACTCTACTGGTCACGACTTCTCACTAGAACCCCAGGTAACTACTTACCTGGGTATGGCGAGTCGCTAGTGATCATCTCATCGATATTCAAGTGTTGGTTTGTAGGGTTTGTATGTCCCAGTGACTTAATGGTCTACGAACTCGCCTTGTAAGCAGAAGGTCCTGGGTTCGAACCCTGGTGGTGGGTGCGTACTGATGAAGAGTCAGTCCCAAACTAGGACGAAACAGCATGCTGTCCAGTACTCCCACCTGATGATGAAATCCTGTAACCAATCAATCAAATCCCTAAAAACCAACACTTAAAATTTTTAATTATCCCTCTCCTGATGGCCTTGCTTGAATTACTTGGCTACCTAAACTTTTTCTCCTCATCGAACGAAATGCATCATTTTTATTCCACTTCAGATCATCCAATCAACCTTATTGCCATAAAGAGTTACAATCTATACTCGCGCACTATTTCAAACAACTTTCTGCCTACAAGTGAGAACTTTTTTGAAGGTGGTGATCAATGGAAAACATCGTCGAGTAGCATTGAAGCATAATTCGAGTGCAACAGATATGATGTATTATCGATTATTCTATTCTATTTGAAGATGCTACACAAGGCTTAATTACCTTGAAATGAAACGCACGAGAAATGCTTTCTTATGTCAAACACATTTCTTTCAGAACAAAGCCATTAGAACTATTATTATTATTGTTATAATTATTATTTCTTTTTTGTCACTATCTGTTTCTCTGAAGACAGCGGAAGTCTTGAAATTATTAATCTTTTTTGTTGTTGTTTTTTTTTTTAAAAAGTGACTATTGAACTTAACTACTAATCTGGTTGAATGTGATTAATTGTTGGTTTTTTTGTAGTTTTCTTAATCATAAATTCTAAGGTCAATAGAATAAAAGTGGAACAACTCTCAATAAAAGCAGAAAACATTGTCTTGATGATGACAGCAAGTAAATCTACTATATATGTGTATATAATTAGCCTAGAAAAAACACGTAGATCAGCGAAGAGTCTCTTTTCGACGAATTCATTTTCTTACCTGTACAATTGCGAATATAGATATATATATATATGCGTTATTTTGTATATTTGCGTGCATTAAATTAGTCAAACAAAAACATAGTTAGATATGATAGAGAAGATTTGTAGCTCAAGTGGATGATTTTGATGCGGTTGTGTTCCCTGAGCTGGATAGTTAATTTGCGAAGCTTTCATTGACACACTACTAGGCAACATCTTCAGCATGCATACTTCAATTTGTTGAAGTGAGATTTTAGACTTCTCGACGAGCTTATTAATCATCTCTCCTGACGGGTGACCTAGGACGTGATTGGTTATTTTTGTGTGTTTTCATACCATCTAGGTAGGTGACTTGTATTGGAACTGACTGTTTCTTTGACTTGAACTTTGACCCTTTGTGTGTGTGTGTGAAGTTTCTTTCTTATTGGTTGATAAATTTTGTCTATCTCGATGTGTCTATTGATTGATGATTCACTAGAATACCAGGTGGGCTTCTAAAAATTCTCTAGCATTCTTGTTGTTTCTCCTGTCTAATATTTGAACGTTTGTTGTCCCAGTGGAATTGATGTCCGTGTTTGTTTGTATGCAGTGTGGTGATATGAGGGAGTGGATGTCATGTCCTTTGACGACTAGTTTATGATCGTGGATACGAAGACGAAGGGGACGTCCACTTTGGCCAATGCAGTGATTTTCGCAGTTGTTACAATTTATTTTGTAGATGATGTTGGTTTTATCTTGTTTCGCTGTTGACAAATTGAACGAAGACAGCTGTTGATGTAGGTCTGTAGCTTGCTTGAGGTGCACTTCATGATGTGCCAAGTCTCTGATCCGTATAGTGAGTCGCACTGACTTCACGTTCGAGTGGAAAATCTGGATCTTATTTTCATTTTCATGCTGAGTGCTGTTGACCTCCACACATACTTGAGAGTAATGAAAGCTTGTCTTGCTTTCCCGATCCTTGCTTTGATATCCTCATCAGTTCCGTCCGCCTGTAGTTGAAGTGATGCTTCCCAGGTTGGTAGGTAGGTAGGCAGGTGAAGGAGGTTGTTTGTTTCTGATTCCTCTCACTTATGATGGCTGATTGTTGTCTGTTGGTGTTGACCAGGAATCTTCATCACCTCTGTCTTCTCTATGTTCAACTGAAGGAAGTCCTACCTTCGATGCTTCTTCTACCCACTTGTTGCTTTTCACTTGCATATCTTCTAGTTTGTGGGAAATCAGAAATATATCATCGTCGAAGCCCAGATCCAGATAGGAATTAGAACAATCCTAACAATTATTATTTTCAGGATTTCATCATGATCTGATACCGGTTACAGAACCATTGGAAAATCAACTGGCAATACTTGGGACTCTTCATCAGTACGTACCTGCTGACATTCTAAGCCGGTACCTTTTGGTTACAAGTTGAATTTGTAGACCATTGAGCCACTGGGATCCACTTCGGTGGGTGCATTCTAATGAAGAGTCCAAAAACTAGCATGAAACAGCTGTCTAGTACTACCAGGTAGTTTTCCAGTGGTCCTCTTACCGATGTCAGTTCATAATGAAATCCTGGAACCAGTCAAATCCGTGTCAACCAAAACTTGAATATCAGTCTACTGCTCATTAATGACTAGTCCTATTCAGGTAGGCAGTTATCTGGGCTCTAGTAGGAAGTCGTGACCAGTGGCGTACAGTATGTATGGTGTAAGGATAAATACGTGCCAGCGATGAATGATATTGGCTAGTTCAATTCGTGCTATACCGTGAACTGACACAAGTTGGAATTCATGGACTGGCTGGCTGGCCTTTGGATTCGGTCATTTTGTCCTATTTAGGACTCATCGACCGTGATGTTGTTTTCACTGACACTTGAACCCAGTACCCATAGTTTGAAAACTCAAAGCGTTATCCACTGAGGCTGGACACTTTGGTCCTGTCAGTCGACCTGAAAGTCCAAAGTGAATCAAATAATTGCTGGTCACTTGTTGAGATATTTTATAGGAGTGATAAATGTAGACCAGGTAACTACCTACCTGGATAGGGTCAGTTACTGAATTCGCTACCAATAGGGTAGAGCAGGTATGGTGTAGAGACAAATACTCTCTTCGAATGAAATTTGCTAGTGGTCGCGCTACATCGTGAATTAGCAGAAGTTGGAGTTCATGGGCTGGCCATTGGATGAGGTTCAAGTGTCTTAATAGTCTACGACTTTGCCTTGTGACCGGAAGGCCCTGGGTTTGAACTCCGGTGGGTGCGTTTTGATAGTGGGTTCCAAACCAGGATGAAACAGCTTTCCAATACTCCGGTGCTGGCTTCCCTAACTAATGTCATCTCATGATGAAATCCTGTAATTAATCAAATTAAATTCCTGAAACCCAACTTTTAAACATCAATCATATTTGTCGTGATCAGAGTTTGCTTATGTAGTAAGAATATAGCTATCAGTCAATAGTCGCATGCTTGGTTTGCTTAGTGGTAACGTCGCTGACAGCGACACATGGTGACCCGACTTCAAGTTACAGAAGGAACGTAATCTCCCTCAAGTTTACAAATATGCCTTGATGACGAGTGACAACAACCTGGATCCACGGTTTCCTGTTGATCGTTTCCAATCAGCTAATAACAGTGGCTTATAAGGTTACATGGTGGCGATCCATCTAGCATACTGACCACATTCCAAACTTGAAAAAAGGACTACAAGCCTGACACTAGTTACTGCCTAGTGTTCGACCAAAGTGTGCATTTCACTGTCTTTGCATTTTTGTTTCAATTGGCTCCACAAGTACTCATCAGTTTTCATTTCCTCTTATTACGACCTCCTCCATGTCACCCTCAGATCCAAGATGAACTCGGAGTTTCCCGTAGATGTTCCAATCAAGGATTTGGTTGATGAATCCTCTCAACATCCTTCTCGTCGTGTTTCCATCGTCTTCCGCCTATCAGTTAGCTTATAGGTGGCCTTTTGGTTCTCTGCCGATGTCCTAGATTACTGCTTATGTTTTCTTTGGTTGACCATCTAATCTTCAAAACTCTGATTTCAGCGTAAATTCTCGCCCTAACCTAACGCCAATCCTTTCACAACTGCAACCTTAAAAATTGATATTTGGATGAGTACAGACGCTTCTAAGGCAAACTGGTTGTGTGTTTGCGTGTATGTTTGGTTTCATACATTCTTACATTTTACAATATTCTTTAACACAGATTAGAGACATTTTTTATCGAAATTTGTCATTTGTAACGCCATTTGTTGGCTCAAGGTCATTGTTGTGTTAGGCTCATTTGTTGTAGTGTAGTTTAACTTCAACAGTAAATTAATGGATGGAGGATTTCCTCATGAGCTGACATCAATTAGAGAACCATTCGAAAACCTGCAGGGAGTAATGGACAGCTGTTTCATTAGCCTAGTTCGGGACTCTCTAGCAGTACGCTACTACCACCAGGGTTCAAACCAAGAACCCTCTGATTACTAGGGGAGCTCGTAGGGACGCACCCAATCCAATGGCCAACTCATGAATTCTAACTCCTGCTAATTCACTACATAGAGCGATCACTTCGCAATGTCTTCTTCTATGAGCTACTGCCACATCTTCAACCTGCTGTTCCCTACTGGTCGCGGCTTCCCGCTACAACCCCACGTCACTGCCTGAATAGGGCCAGTAGCTAGTCAGCATCAAATTAATCTTCAAGTATTGGTTTTGTAGGGATTTAGTGTGAATTGGAAGATGTTAGAATTCATGAGTTGGCCATTGGATCGCGTCCCAGCGGCTTGATGGTCTACGAGCTCGCCTAGTAACCAGAAGGTCCCGGGTTCGAACCCCTGCGTATTGCTGAAGAGTCCCAAACTAGGACGAAGCAGTGTTCCAGTACTCCCAGATGTTTTTCCAATTTTTCTTTATCTGATGTCAGCTCATGAGGAAATCCCCCATCCAATCAAACTAAATCCCTAAAAAACCAACACTTGAAAAGTAAATTAATGACTCGAAATGTTTTAATAAATAAATGAAAAAATCATAAATAATAAGCCATAAACAATAAAATTCACTAAAGTGTGTACAACTGAATTGAAATAATGAATAGAATGACACTATGAAACGTTGATACACACATACAAAGTACACAAACAGAAAATGGACGAGTTTTAATTACTACTGTTACACAGGCTACTGACAAAAGCTTATAAGTAGTGTATGCGTGCTGTCTTCTGAAAGAATCTTGAACAGAGAAGTGATAGATTAAGCTGTGAAGAGAAGAAATGACAATCCTTGTGAAATAATACAACAGAAGGCATGAAATCGTGATAAAAGAAGTAGAATACGAAATAACTTTTGAAAATTTGACATTACAATACTAGCTGTTTATCGTACATCATTTCGTGAAATAAACAATTCTACATTTGATTGGACTCTAGTCAGTGACTAGTGTAATGCGTGTATGTGTGTGTGTGTCGAGGGGGGGATAGGTTTAGTTATTTGTTTGGTGTAGACTGAATTCCATAGTCAGTCAAGTTTGCAATGTGACCACCATGACACCAGGTGGCTATCTATTACGGTGCACTATGAATTGTTGCTGTTAACTGGTTGTAGGCGATTGGCCACAGTAAAGCCTTACTTGACCTACGTTTCGTGCTCCTTAGCACTCACCAGTCAGCCAGTAAGG